GCATATCCGCTCATTTGTCTGCGGCGAAAAGCGGAGAAATTCAATTGAAACCGAAACCGAATTACTCTCCGCCCCAGCTTACTGCTAACTGCCGTTGGCACAAGTCATTTGTCAAGTGGGGAAAATGTACAACCGTGCCACAGACATAGCGGTCCACCGAGGGTGACAACAATGTTGTTCACTGCTGCTGCTGGCCACACACGTTGCTACAAATTGTTTCACACAGGCATGTGATCAATCGTGTAACGGTGTTTTCTGCTAATGCCTTGAAGGCGGCTAAAAGCGCAAACGAAATTCCAAACCAATTGCAGCAACACTTTCAATTTAATTGCCCTCTCCATGCCACTGCAACACAGTCGAACACACAGAAATAAATGAGAAATGTTTCGTCAACAATGCTGCTGACATTCAGCGACATAATGTTGATGTAAATAATTGGCTTGGAAATTGAATGCTGCAGCTCAGCTAAAACTCCCATACAGACATACACGTACACATGCATACGGGCTTACACCGTGTATGGGCTCGCATGCCGCAATGAAAATTCCCAGCAATTTGCTGAATAGGTGTAACGGTATGTTTGTTTAGCTAAACGTAGGCTATTCACAGCATGCCACCGCATCAGCGTTTTCTGTTGCCTCCGCCGTGTTGCACGGGCGGTATGTAATTTCGTCTGTTTTGGTGTTGCAATTTAGTTGTTAATTAAAGTGTAACATTTTGGTGACGCAAATGCGCTTTATGACCACTTTTTTATTGTTGTTATTGTTGTATGTACATACGTTCATACATATATGTATGTATATTTATTTGTCTCTATATCTATTTATCCGCCAGCCGACAAGTATCTCTTTCCCATTTGCCAACATGAAATGCGGGTAATTGCCACATGTTGCAAGCCGTCGCGAGTCACATGGCAATTTGCTGAGCATTTTTTACGCTTTTCATTTAGCGCTCGCTTTTGATTTCATTTTATTTAATGCCAAACTTTGTTGTTTTATCCACTTTTTCTTCTTTTTTTCATATTTCGCTGTTGTTGTAACAAGTTTGTTGTATGTTATTTTCTGCTGTTTTTTTTTTTGTTGTTTTTCATGTCGGTTGATTTCAAAGCTCTTTTCATGTTATCTGCACATTCATTTGCTGAATGTTTTTCATTCGTTCGTTCGTTCGTTTGTTTGTTGTTGTTGTTACCGGTGACCGGAATTTTTGATTGGCCATTGGCGTTGCAATCACGTTTTCTATGTCGCATTTTTGCCTTGCCACTAAGTGGGTGGTCAGCGTGCATGCATGTACATACACGTATGTGTACCGGCAAAAACAATAACAAACAACAGCAGTCACTTTTGAGGTATGTGATGAAATTTGGCAATTAATAAACATACATACATGCACTTGATTTTTTTTTCCTACATTAACGGGATCACCTCTGATATTTCGCATTCGCACTACTGATATTTGCATCACGTTCATACTAGTTAAATACCAGTTCATTTATCTGCGTTGAATTTCTACTTGGCATAAATAATAAAGGTTTTTCTTAAGAGGGATTCGAAACACAAATTTCGTGTCTAAAGCTTCTTACAGAGTGCGAGCTGAAACCCGAGCTGAGTCGACCCGAGCACTAAGCTGGTGAATGCGAGAAACACTCTTTGAAACGTTTTGCATAGAATTCGATACTCTCTAGCGCTGATTAAGCACAGTGGAAGCCAAGCCACCAAGCATGCTAAAGCCGATGGTATATCTGATCGACGCGAGAAAAATAGTTCCGATTTGTTTTTCAACGCTCGCGCTGAGTTATTTATCATTATTGAGGATTCGAGGTGATTTTACTTAGGATATCTTCTTTTACTGTATTTACCGGAAGTAGCTTTGCACTCAGTTTGGCTTTCTGGGGCTTAACCACTCAACCAACGTGAAACTATTTTATAACAAAGTTTCTGGGTGTTTTTTATCAACAAAATGCCAAGTGCTATGCCATCAAGTAGTGTTGCACCAGAAATTTCACATATCAGCTTAGCTTTTCACTGTAGGGTATAAATTTTTTTTGGTTGTCGATACGTAATGTGTGGACGTGTGACTCAGTGTTGACATTTGAAAATTGCTTTGTGCGCTCGAAAAGAGGGATTTAGGCAACAAATTTTAGGTGTACACGTATGTACATATATATTTTGGAAAGGTATTTGGGGATTTGAAGTTTTGTTGAAGTGATAGAAAAAAATTTGATTTATTTTAAAAAAAGCCTCGTTAAAAAAATATCTGGATTTCTTTGAGAGAGTACAATTTGAGTGGAGGTAGTTTAACTGATGAAAACTTGGCTATGGAACATATTGAAAAGTCATTAGTTCAGTTATTCTTAATAGAGATTTTTGCTGAAACCATAAAATAGTTTCAAACTCATCGTAGCAGTAGTGTTTATATCACCATCCGGTCGAGTTGGAGCTTGGGTTCATTTCGAAGCTTCCATTAGGACAGCGCATTGTCAATTTGACTAACTGATACTTCCACTATCCAAAGTGCTCTGGAGATAAGCTTCGGAAACACAAAGGCTTAGAAAAAGACTTTGATTGAACTAGTAACCTACGCCACTCCATTTTCGATTAATCTCCCATATAATGATTTTGGCTTCTTCCTTCCAAAAGTGTGGGTTCCGCAGGAGGATTTTAATACGCACTCAATCTTTGTTGCGATCGTAAAGCCAATACTCTTTTACGGTGCTCCAGTACGGTGTAGGAATACGAGCAAAAAATATATCTGGTTTTCAGGTTCTCAAGGGTAAACCACACAGAAACACTCAAAGGTCGTGCGTTCATACAGCATGGAATCGAGCTTAGTAAAGTTCTTTGAGAGTGGAATCAAGAACTGCTTGAATGACTAGGACTCTTATTTATTGCGTGCCAAAGCATAAGGGCACCGAGTGGCCGATCAGCAATGTTATTCTAAGTAGAAGGACAATGAAGAGTCAACCAGTTTAACTTCACCCAACTTAATGGGAAGTGAGAGTAAAAACAAGGCTTCCTGATATACAAATTGAAAGAGACATTGTGCGAGCATTTTCTGAACGCTACGATGTGCCAGCGAATACAAAGTTAATGAGAAATAACTGAGTTAATTGAAAAGGTCAGTATAAAGTCAATATTTGAAATTACAGTTAGGCTCTTAATGTACTTACATACAGATATACAAACCGGATGAGTGAACGTAAATGAGCAAGATTTCGTCACAAACACACACGTCACAAGTGCAACAAAGATCCAAACTGGTCCGAATGTAATTAAATTTTAATTTCAATTTCACTTTCATATTCGTCTGCCACATGACACATCGCATGCTAAAGCATTTGCCTTTTAGGTATCATTTTGCTTTTTTTTCTTTTTTTATAAAGATTTTCACTTTTTCTATGAGCATTTTTCATGAGCTTGTAACATTTCTATTCCATTTCCATTGCAAAGTAGAATGCAAAATAACTGAACCGAAAATCAAGAAGCAGTGGAAATGAAAGCAGAGAACGGCCGACCTCTTGATGGTGAGTGCCGCTGACCTACTTTGCCCAGCATCCAGTACAAATCAATACAACAGAGCCGAAATGCAATTCAAATCCACTCGATTTGAATCGAAATTTGTTGATGCGTTCATTTGTATGCAATATATGCAACTATACACACATATATATACTCGTGTGCTGACGGTCGACATCTGGCGTCTGACAATTTCTGCTTCCAAGGCTTCTACTTTTGAGGAAACCCAAAAAAAATGCTAAGTAAGCGAGTCCGTAAGGTAGTAAATGAAAGCGAAATGGATCTGCATGCTGCACACGCACACACACGCACACACCTAAGAATGCATGAAAATGTGGAAGAGTTTTTTGGTAGAAAAGTTGCGTGCATTGTTCGGCTGCGGCAAGTGGGAACGTGAGAAGCATCGAATGTGCCGCCAAGACGAATGTCGGTCACACATGTCACAGCGAATTTGCCGGTTACAATGACTCAAACACACACTCGCCTGAGTAGAAGCAATGCAATGTATGCTTAAATCGGGAAATTGTGTGGAGGGAAAAGTTCAATGGGTTTGGCGGCAAGTATGGCAAATGTGACTAAAAGATGCCTGTGGATGTAGTGAAAGGAGAGCCGGAATAATTCCAAAACAGATGTATTTAGCGGCCCATTAGCGATCTACACATACACATTCACGCACAGCTCTGGTTGGCATTTCCGTGTGCCAACAAAAACGGTCATCGTTAACGGCCGCAACAACAACGGCGACAGAGATATCCATTGGCACGGCGCAGCGCAACAGACAGACACACAAATCGCACAACACAACGCACAGACCAGGCGCGTGCACCGCGCTCGTTACTCTGACAATGGGGGACGCTATGCACGTAAATGTAGGGTATCTATACACATTGTACATACATGCACGGCCCCACAAATGCCAATATTGCCGCACCGAGACACGAACAGACATACAAACGGATAGACTGCTTTCAATTTTTACTATTCTTGGCTTTCGCTCAACCGAGATTTTTATATGGCTAACGCAGCATATGGATGCAGGGAGGCAGTCACACACTTACTTCGCCAACCCAAATTGATTCTTGCTGTTCTTTGATTGCTTGTTGTCAAGCAGCTACAGACGAGTCTTAGAGCAATTTCCGCATTCCGTTGGGTGCGCAATTTTATGGCGTCACACACTTCCTTTCACTCATATAACTTTCTTTAAGTCTAAAGAGCTTTTTCTCTCTAAAATACGAGGTGCGCTATTTTTGATAACCAATTAGCTCGCTTGATTGAAAATTAATTTAAATAAAAATTATGATAAATTCTCTAACTGCGGTCACCCCTCAGCAGCGAGTATCCACCCCTCCGAGTGTATTTCGGTCTTTGAAATAAAAGCTCCTTTTAAAAAACCATTAGCCGTTCGAAGGCGTCTTAGTAAAACTTGTAGGTGTCTCCATTACTTGGTAATAAACGATAAGGATGAGCTGGTGGAGAGATCAAATCGTGACTTCGCTTGGAGAAAAAAGAAACGACTAGCGCAATATTGTTGTCGAAGGAGAGGAAATAAGAAACCTAGAAATGACAATTGCCCCGAGCTTAACCTTTCTTGTTGGCTTTAATTAAATTAGGTACTTTTGTTTAATTTTTTGATTGATTTGGGTGCCTTAAAATATGAAAATAATCACTTTTAACTTTTCTTAAGCTCGCCATTTCATTTGCGTAAATTTACGTTGGCTTCATAAAACTGAGCTCAAAATAAATAATCCGTCTCTGATTGCATTAGATTTACCACCTAAAGGATTTCATGTCAATGGAGCGAAATTGAATTGGTACTCTTCATTCTTATTGCGACTATTCGTAAGCCGTTGGCCACATAGAAAAGATTGAGCACATCAACCAATAAACACTTTATATATTAAACTCTGATTGTGTTTGTGCAGCTGGATCGTCAGCAGAGGAAAAGGAATGCAGACGAAAACTAGTTGAATGAATGACTTAATTGTTCTGCCACACAAGAGCTATTAAAAAACTAAGGGGGCTGCCTGCTCTAGACGGACGGTATGAAATGAGATGTGCTCCCCAATAACAGAAGCGATGGCAATGAGGTAGCAATGAGGGAGTGAGTGAACGAAATGCAGCAGCTTCAGCAACAGCATCAGAGGGCTAAGTAACAAAGAGAGGAGAAATGTGTGAAATGTTTGCATATAAATGTGTGTGTACGAGTATGTTCTGGCGGATATACATTTGCATGTACATCTATTATATATACGAGTGTGCACTATAAATTGAATTTGATGGATTTATGCACTAACTGTAATTTGGTGATGCCATGAAGAGTTCATTGGTTTCGGGTCAATGGCGCAGCGGCAGAGAATCCAGTCAATTTACACAGTTTAAGTGCTTTCGGTTTGAAACTTTATTACCGGAATTAATTCAGCCTTAATTGCATTTTCAGTGGCAATGAACTTTGCTGACATAAACGTTTAATTGTAAATATTATTTTAAATTTACTTTAATTTTGATAGACAAAAATTTTGTATTTAAAATATTATGTAATAACTGCATAATCCCAAATAATGTTTGTTTTTTCATCTTCTGCTTTCAGGTATGTTTAAACGCTGTGATCTAAAATTAATTGCAATATTTTACTGGTAAGCCATTTGTAATTCAAGTTGATTAGTTTTCGAGTGAAAAGCGGCCCTGTAATATTTGAAACTGACAACAATGAAAATGAGGCTACTTGAACATTTTTTTTGTACTTTTTCTTTGTAATATATCATGAAAATAAAAATTGAGGAACCAAAAACATGTTCATGGTACAGATGTGACCGTTGGGATTGAAGATATGTTTAAAAAAAAATCGGAAATTAGAATAAATAGAGTTGTGTTAAAATTTTTCCATGTCGAAGCCCTCAACTAAAGCAGGAAGCTTTCTTTTTTTTAGCAAAGGCATTAAGGAATGTTTCTGAGGTACTGCAGCCATTTTTTATCTCACTTCCAAGGCATAGATGCGAAGAGTTGTTTCTTAGTTGTTCCAATTAGAGACGCTTTTATTGATTCTTTGTTTTGAGAGGATTTCAGCAGCTACCTTGATAAGGTTCCTCTTGAAAGAAATAAAAATTAAATGACAAGAAGTAAAATAAAAACGAAAACTCACAAAATAATCGTATGTATGTATGTATGTATTATCATACATGTGTTTTTGTATGTATGCAACGTCAGTTCTTTAAAAACCGCAAATGTAGGCTGAACATGCAACAAAAGCCCTGACATACACACCAGCGGCTGAGTGGCGCCGGAATTATGCAGTCAAATATGTATGTATGTGTGTGTATGTATGCAATCATGACAAACAGCGTAATGGAAAAACTGAAACACCAATTGAACGCATGAAGAACATATGACCAGATTAACGCATTTGCATTTGAGCCACGTACCACACACATAGACATACGCCATAAGCGTACATGCATACTTACATATGTACATATGCATGCGCTATTACAAAAATCACTGCACACACATCCAACCTCACATATGCTACGTACGGTATATGTACTCGTGCATATTGTGACATCTTTTTGTACATTTATGGCTGTGATTGAGGAAAAAAAGAAAAGACAATCACAAACATATGGTCAGTTGCATGCATGCCATTGTTCACCAAATACAAATATGCAACATATGACTAAACACAGGGTGTGTGTGTGTGTATACATGCATGTATAGATGCCGAAAACTCCATTTAAATCCATTATAATGTTTCATACCAAGGAACATTTGGCTTCTGGCGTCAAGGCATCCCGCGCTACGAGTTCTTGCAGCAGCTTCTCGGTATGTAGATATGTATGTATGTATTGCATGCGCATCTATAAAGGCGGCATTTACTTTGTAATTGTATCTAGTCGAACTTATTTGTGTCATAATATTATATGTTGCACTTAATGAGTTGTTGATGTTTCAATATTCTCAAGCAGGGGCTTCAGAAAAATGTTTTTTCCCTAAACAACTTTTCAAATATTACAAAGATTCCACATGCCGATTTTCTCGGAAAAGTAACAATTTTTAGTATTTTACTCCAGAATATTGACTGACTTACTTCTATGAATTCTGGCGAAAGAAGTGAGCTGACTTTTAAAAGAATGCTTCCACCACCTAGATTTTTCTAAAAAAATTTGGATTTTGTAATGTACATACATACACGCGTACAAATTGAACCGCAAAATTGGTGGCAAACCTTGCGTGCTTTCCATTACTACAATGCTGCGCAATATGCAACTAGAGTACAAACAAAAAATATATATTATAGATGTATGTTTCCATTTTGCGCCGCAACATGATATTTGACTGTCACTTGCACGACTTCCCACGCAAAATAGTAAATAATAAACAAATGTTTGTAAACTCTGCTCGAATTGAAAAAAAATTTTATTTTTTAAGTGGAAAAATTTGTCATTCGAACATTCGGGAAGAAATGGATCGTATTTCATAAATGCCATTTCGGCAAGTAGATATTTACATGCAATAATCAGAGGAGAGCGCGACAGAGAGCGCGGCCAGCCCACGAAGCCTTATGGTGAAACTTTTTGTAGTTGGGAAATATTAGCGAATATGAAGTCGCAAGTGTATATGTAATTTATGTATGTGTAGCTTGTGCACTTGTAATAATTTTTGGCACGTTTCCGCAAATGTTGCATGAATTCAATACACCTACCTCAGTATTTTGCTCGCATAATTTTTTGCATAATAACAGCTGTTTAAAATTTTGACAGCCAATACAACTCCGAGTGGACTTTAAAGCCACAAAAATGTGTGCAGCGAATTGTGTAATAGTTTTATGTTATGCCTGCCATAATTGCAGAAAGAATTATAAACGAAAAAATCATAATATCCGATGTGTGTTGGAATCCTAACCAGACTAACATCCAAAATGGTAAAAATTATTTCTAAATGTTTTTGCCTCCCGGGACCAACTATGAGCTCTTCCTAGTGCATTTCTTACATGAAAAAAATCAAAAAATGCGACACCCTTCTTTTCATTTACGAAAAAATATATATCGAGATGTACATTACAACTTGGAAGAGAAACTCTGTCGAAATTTTAACAACATTTCAGTTTTCACCAACGAACAAGTCACAAAAGCTTTTTTTGCCTCGATTAGCTCGGGAGGTGATTCAGACGATTGCTGGACTAGGCCGAGCCTTCCCAATTAATTTAATCAATTTAGATACGAAACGCCTCTTAACTACTTTTAACTGGATATTAACCCCAAAATGCATAACCGGGTATCCGGTTATCCAGTAAGGATTTTAAATGGATATAACCATGGGACCACCACCAGCAGAGAAATAAAGCTTGAATTCTAGAAAACTTGTGTATTTTAGCATAGATAACTCTAACATTAGATACTATTTATTCCAGTCATTGAATCTTCCAAGCAAATTGGTTTGCTGCAGATTCATCATATCTATCGGCTACGTTTAGTTTCCTGTATATGACACAAGTGGTAAGATTCCTCTTTTGGTTTTCTGGAAATTTCTGAAACTGAAGTTGATAGTAGAACCAAAAGGTTGCCAATACCGTTATATCTAGAACAAACTTATTTGTGGCATACCTCAACCCCACCTTTGGTTTTAATACAAAATTCAATCAAATTTTGATAGGGTGGTGCTTCGAGCAAAGCAATAAGAAACGTTAAGTCTGTCGATAGTAGTTCTTCTGCTAACGACAATATGATACAAAAATCATCCGTTTTCATATTTTTTGTTCTTCTAAATTTGATCATCTTGTCTTGTTTCTCTTTCTGTTTCAGCTTGCAAAACAACAAAACATTTGAACGCCTGCTGCATACATACCGTTTCTGTGTTTCTCGATGGATAATAACGTTGTCGTACAACATTTTGCCTCAGCTCCTGTTGAATTTGAATTGGTTGGGAACTCTACTCAGCGCTAATTCTTCACTGGAAAGTGTATTTTTTCGTTATATTTTCGGGCAGCTCTTTTGCATCCTACTTTTCCACATCACAAACACTCAACTCTGGCTCTTTTTGGTCTTAAAATTTTTGGTTGTGAGTTCTAGAGTTAATCCGAGGTAGTTTCTGGATCATCTCTTAGTCAATTTGCTCAATATATTTCGACCATTCGAGCTGCTTAGGAACTGGGTATTTGGATGTCAATTATTTCAAATTCGTTTCACTGCTTTTTAAGTGAATTCAGAAATATTTAAGAAATATTTCGAGACCAGTTTGAGAATCTCTCAGACTCAGTTTACGAATAGTCGAATTTCATATTTAATTTTTTTTAACACCCCCCAAGGTAGTGTTTCCTTGTGCCATCTCGTCGAATCAACTTGGCGAATATTTATCAAAACGAAGGAGCAAAGCAGGAAGCTTCGATGTTCTTGTTGAAATATTTATTTCGTGGCTTCGAGTGCTCCCATGCGATTTTCAGCACTTTCCCTCGTGACTTCCTTGCTTATGCGTGATAATATTTGCACTGCAATTAACGTGAACAGTTTATGTCGATTAAGTCAAAGGCAAGCTCTATTTAACGTCTTAACATCGAAAGTAAATGAGCTGACCATTTCCACAGGCGAGGTTTTCTAATGCAAACTAACCTCGTTTGAAGAACGCACTCCATATGATTAGCGTATGCAAATTTGCTCTCAGTCTGTACACACACACACACACACACGTATATACCTACAGTGTTTGAGTGTGTGAAAACAGCGGTGCATTAGCATGAATATGCAAAAACTTTCAATGTTGGCCGCAATTTTTGTTTTTTGCACTTTTCGCATGGATGCAACATTTAATGTTGCATGACACTCAACATTATCCATATGCATTTGTTTTGAGTGCGATTTTTTGCAACAAACGAGATTTGAATCTTTCAATTAGCATTGCGTGAATTGAATAAGCTTGAAGGGGAAAATGAAGAGGAAAGGGAAGTTTGCGTCGCTGCTACTCGTTTTACACATGCAACATGCATCTGCCCGCAGCGTAAATATGTATAATAATATTGCAGATAAATGTCTTTTTTGCTACACTTCGATGGAAATGGGAGCAACATGCAAATTCAATTGAACTGATTGATCGACACATTTAGTCGCGATGAATGCGCTGAGCGGTGACGTCGCGCGTGATGGCATGCGAAAAATGTGTGGCTGCCACTTGCATTGAGATTGTGAACAATGAGGATGTTGCTATGCATGAGAATATTGCTGATTGACACAGTGTGCATCTATAGTAAGTGTGTATGCGATATAATGTTTGTTGCAATTTCGGTTGACAATCACTTCCTCATTAAATTCGTATCTGAAAGGAATGCACCAAAAACAAAAAAATTATTGAGACAAAAAGTATGAATGCGTTATTGACAAACACAACAACAACAATGCAAAAGCAGAAACGCTTATTTCGATTTTCCGAAAACACTCTCACATTCTGTTTGAGAATTTTCGGGTGTAAAGTGAAATAAATTGCCAACGCATAAATTTAATTAATCCAGCAGTAATAACAAAAACAAAGAACAAACAGAAAACTACATAAAAACGCAGAAAACAGTAAGTGATTAATGTCAGGCACTGATTACTGCAAGCGAAACAGTTAAGCTTAAAAAAGAAAAACAGCAACGACAACAGCACCAACTGCACAGCCATTCAAGCGCGCAGAGCTCACTCGCCAATTGAGTGATCGATGTGAGCGCGTCAAAAGTGAAGGTCGCAATG